TTTTGGTTTCTCAATATATATATGTCTGTTTTTTGTTTCTTAGAGTGTGTGCCGGTGTTTTGTGTATTATGGTGTGTGTTTTTTTGATAAATTAGTACGTGTGTTTTTGGTATATAGGGATGTGTATGTGATTTTTGGTCTATTAGTGTGTGTATGTGCGCGTGATTTTATGTATTAGTTTGTGTGCGTGTCATTTTTGATGTATTAGTATGGTTGTGTGTGCGTTTAAGTGTGTACATGTGATTTTTGATATTAATTTGGGTGAATGAATGTGTGTGTGTGCGTGCGGTTTTTGGTGTATATTAGTTGATATATTAGTGTGTGGGTTTGTCGTATTAGTGTCTGTCTAAAGGTGTTTTTGGTTATAAGAGTATGTTGTGTTTGTTTTTTGTTTGGTTTATTAGTGTATGTTTGTTTTTGGTGTATTAGTATTTGTGTTTTGGTGTATTGGGGTATGTGTGTATTAGTGTGTGTATGTGCACATGTGTGTGTTTTCGTGTATTAGTGATTATTCTGGTGTATTAGTGTTTGTTAATATTGTGTGTGTATTTTTTGGTATACTAGTGGGTATACTTGGATAGTGCATTAGCGCGTTTAGTTTTTGGTTTCTTAGAGTGTGCGTGCCCGTGTTTTATGTATTTTGTTGGGTGTATTTTTTTGATAAATTAGTATGTGTATTTTGGTATATAAGGATATGTATGTGATTTTTGGTTTATTAGTGTGTGCGTATGTGCACGTGTTTTTATGTAGTAATAGGTGCGTGTTTTTTGGTGGATTAGTGTGTTAACATGATGTGTGTGTGGTGTATTAGTATATGTGTGTATTTTTGGTGTATTAGTGTGTTTGTGTGTGCATATCATTTTTGATGTATTAATAGGGTTGTGTGTGTTTTAGTGTGTACGTGTGATTTTTGATATATTTGTGTGTATTATTGTGGGTGAATGTGTGTGCGTGTGGTTTTTGGTGTATGTTAGTTCATATATTAATGTGTTTATTGTGTATTAATGTGCGCATGTGTATTAGTATGTGTGTGTGTGTGTTTTTGTCGTATTAGTGTTTGTCTAAAGGTGTTTTGGTTATAAGAGTGTGTTATGTTTGTTCTTTGTTTGGTTTATTAGTGTGTGTTTTTTTTTGGTGTATTAGTATTTGTGTTTTGGTGTATTGGGGTATGCGTATATTTCCTTGTGTATTAGTTTATGTATGTGCACGTGTGTGTTTACGTGTATTAGTGATTATTTTGGTGTATTAGTGTTTCTTAACACTGTGTGTGTATTTTATGGTATACTAATGGGTATACTTGTATGGTGTTTTAGCGCATGTGTTGTTTTTGGTTACTTAATGTATATATGTGTGTTTTTTGTTTCTTTGAGTGTGCGTGCCAAAGAAATTTGAGTGTTTTTGGGTGTGCCTTGATTGTGTGTTTTTGTTTACTTAATGTATATATGTGTGTATTTTTTATGTATATACTTAATGTATACATGTGCGTTTCTTTGAGTGTTTTTGTTTTTGTTTCTATGGAAAGAGGTGTGCTCACGATCCTTGTTCCTGGATGATATATTAAGATATTATGATTTTTTAAGAGAATTTGACATATATGTTGAATCCTTAGTTTTCCATTCTATCAGCAAAATTATATGAAGATTGGTGTAAATCTGGTATTATTTCGATCTCTAATCTCTGATAATTTGTGTTTTTTCTATTTTCCGAATTTAACCACTTCTAATGTTATTAATTTTCATTGGAATGGTCTAAAATTTTAGTTCATAATCTTTTATTTGATGTCCTATCAAGGTACCTAAAAGTAGTGACAAATAAGGGTAGCATCAAACTCAATCTTCTTACTCTTCTTTTGTATCATTTAATGGTATCCATTTCTTGTTGTTGTTACCTTGCATATTTACTACTCTTCTTGAAGCAAATCTGTATTGTTTCCCACGAGGAGTGATTAGTTTTAGGAGCATTCTGCATTTGGTTTTAGAATGATTATCTTTTTCAAGTATTGCTGCATTTCTTCGTTCATCTATCTATTTTTCCTCCTAACTTAGGGGTGTCTATGGGCCAGGTTTCCCATGGGTCTTGTTACCCGGCCCAAAAAAATAGGTTTGACACTCGATAGGCCTGATAGTTGGTCCGCCCGAGACTGAACCCAATATTCTTAAAAAGAGGGCTTGGGTTTGCCCCCAAACTCATTACCTGGCCCAATAGCCCGATAGAAAAAAATCCGTTAAAACTCGGCCCAAGAGCCCGCCCGCCTACCTTTCCTTTGAAAAAAATTATACTTTTAAACCATTAAATTTGAAACTTTGAAATAAGTTTCCCAATATCGGAATTTGAAATTTTAAAAATTTAGATAATATAAATAATGTATTATTTTCTTTTTCATATATTAAGCATATAAGTTTTAAAGGGTTGAATAATGCAAATGATAGATAAGTGAGTAGGTGTTAACCTAGTTGGGATGTATTCATTCTATTGGATGTAGTTCATCTTTTAATCAAAAATAAAATTATTCATTATTTTATTTTTATCCATTTCGACTCTACTTTTGATTCAAAAATATAATTTATACAAATATTAAGTTACAAAAATATTCATTATTTTTAAATGAAGTTGTATATAAAAAAGTCCGCAAGCAGGCCCGCTCAGCAAGCCCACTCAGAAGGCCTGCTTAATAGGCTCACAGGTTGGGCTGCGGGTAGCCTACCCTTACTCAAAGCCTAGTCCAGCCCATCCGATAACTCACTTGGGTAAGAGCTTGGGCTTACACTACTCTGGCTCGGCCCGAAAAAAATTTCACATACCTAATTCGGCCCAGTCCATGGACACACCTATCTCTCTCCCTCCTCCAACTCCTCCCTTCTACGTAAATTTTGAACAACATTTAGACATAGAGGATATAACTTCTTCTTCCTTCTCCTCGTCCTCCTCCTCCTCGTCCTCAGCATCCTCCTTATTCCCCTTCTCCTCCTTCTCTCTTTCCTCTCTTTCTTCCTCATCATCCTCCTGATTCCCCTGCTCATCCCTTCTTCCTCCCAATTTTCCTCCTCTTTCTCCTCTCCTGCTCCTCCTTCTTCCTCCTCCAACTCCATCAATTTCCTCCTTCCTCCCAATTTTCCTCTTCTTTCCCCTCTCCTACTCCTTCTCCTTCTCCTTCTCCTCTCTCCTTTTTCCTTATCCTCCTCCTGTTTCTTCTCATTTTTGTCGTCGTCGTCCTTCTTATTCTTTCTTCTTATTTCTCCTTCTCCTTCTCATTCTCTTCCTTTCTTCTTTTTGCTTTTTCTCGTCCTTATTTCTCTTTTCTTCTTTTTGCTTTTTGTCGTCGTCGTCTTTTTGTTTTTCCTCCCTCATCCTCCTGCTCCTCCGCCAACGTCATCTTCTTCGTCCTCTCTTCTACGTAAATTTCGAGCAATATTTAGACATAGAGGAGACAGTTTCTTCTTCTTCCTTCTTCTCCTCTTTCTTCTCCTCCCTTTTTTCCTCCTCCTTTTCCTTCTCCTTCTAATTGTCCTCATTCTCCTCTCTCCTTCTTCCTCTTGCTCTTCCTTTTCCTTCTCCTCCAACTCCTCCTTTCTTTTATGTAAATTCAAGCAGCATTTAGGCTTAGAGAAGACAACTTCTTCTTCTTCCTTCTCCCCTTCGTCCTTCTTCACCTTCTCCTCCCCTTTTTCCTCCTCATTGTCCTCTTTATTCTCCTTTTCTTTCTCTTCCCTCCTTCTTCCTCTTGTTTTTCCTCCCTCATTCCTCCTATTTCCCCTCTCCTACTCCTGCTTCCTCCTCCTCTAATTCCGTTAATTACCTCATTCCTCTCGATTTTCCTCCTCTTTTCCCTCTCCTGCTCTTTCTCCTTGTCCTCCCATTTATTCTTCTCATTTTCATCCTCCTCCTCCTCCTTATTCCTTCTCCTCTTTCTCGTTTTCCTCCTCTTTCTCTTTTTTGTCCTTTCTTCCTTTTGTTTTTCCTCCTCTTTTGCTTGTCCTCCCTCCTCCTCCTTCTATTTCTCCTTCTAATTTTCCTACTCCTTCTCTTTCCCTTCTCCTCCTTCCTCATTCTGCTTCTTCCTCCTCCTCCAACTCCATCACTTTCCTCTTTTTTCTTCCCGATTTTCCTCTGTCTCTTTCCCCTTTCCTACTCCTTTTTCTTTTTCTTCTTCTTTCTCTTCCAGCTGCTCCTCTTCCTTCTCCTTCTGCTCCTCCTCTTTCACCTCCCACCTTCTTCTTCCTCCTCCTTCTCCTCCCTCATGTTCCCCTCTCCTGCTCCTTCTCCTCCCTCCTCATCCTTCTTCTTCTTTCTCTTCCTACTCCTCCAACTTCTTATTCCTTCTCCAACTCTTCATTTCTTCGACGTCAATTTCGAGCAGCATTTAGGCACAGAGGAGACAACTTTTCCTTCTCCTCCCTTTTTTCCTCCTCTTCCTTCTCTTTCCCCTTTCTTGCTCCTCCTCTTTCCTTCTCCTCTTTCTCGTTTTCTTCCTCCTTCTCTTTCTCCTCCTTTCTTCCTTTTATTTTTCCTCTTCCTCCTTCCTTTTGCTTTTCCTCCTTCCTCCTCCTCCAACTCCTCCCTTCTTCTACGTAAATTTTGATCAGCATTTAGGCATGGAGGAGACAACTTCTTCTTCATTCTCCTCCTACTTCATCTCCTTCTCATTGCCTTTCTTCTTTTCGTTCTCATTGTTCCCCTTATTCTTCAACTCCTCTTCCTCCTATTTCTCCTTATTTTCCTACTCCTTTTTCCCTTCTCGTTCCTCTTCTTCTTCCTCCTCCTCCAACTCCATCAATTTCCTCTTTTTTCTTCCCAATTTTCCTCCTCTTTCCACTTTCCTACTCCTTCTTCTTCTTCCTTCTCTCCCCCCTCCTCCTCTTGTTTTTCTTCCTTCCTCCTCCTTTTCCTCCCTCCTTCCTACTTCTCCTTCTTCTTTTCCCCTCTCCTCCTCCTTCTTCTCTTCCTCTTCCTCCAACTCCTTTCTTCGACATCAATTTCGAACAACATTTAGGCACGGAAGAGACAACTCCTTCTCATTTTTCTTCTCCTCTCTTTTTTCCTCTTCTTCCTTCTCTTTCTCCTCCTTCAATTTTCCTCCTCTTTCCCCTCTCTTGCTCCTCCTCCTCCTTCCTCCCGATTTTCCTCATCTTTACCCTCTACTGCTCCTCTTATCTCCTCTTTTTTCCTACTCTTTCTATTTCTTCTTCTCATTTTGTTCATCCTCCTTCCTTCTCCTCTTATCGTTTCCTCCTTCTCCTCCTTTCTTCCTTTTGTTTTTTCTCTTCCTCCTTGTTTTCCTTCTTTCTTTCGCATTTCCTCCGTCCTCTTCCTCTCCCTCCCTCCTCCTCCAACTCCTCCCTTCTTCTACGTAAATTTTGATCAGCATTTAGACATAGAGGAGACAACTTCTTCCTCTTCATTCTACTCCCTCTCTTTCTCCTCCCTCCTTCCTCTTGTGTTTCCTCCTCCACCTCCTTCTCATTTTCCTTCTTGCTTTTGTTTTTCCTCCCAACTTAGGGTGTCTATGGGCTGGGTTACCCACGGGTCCCGTTACCCGGCCCAAAAAAAATAGGCCTGAAACTCGATAGGTCCGATAGTTGGCTCGCCCAAGTCCGAACTCAATATCCTTAAAAAGAGGGCTAGAGTTTGCCCCCAAACCCATTACCTGGCCCAATAGCCCGCCCGAATAAACCCGTTAAAACTAGGCCCAAGAGCCCACCTGCCTACTTTTTGTTTGAAAAAAATTATACTTTTAAACCATTAAATTTGAAACTTTGAATAAGGCTCCCAATGTTGGAATTTAAAATTTTAAAAATTTATATATTATAAATAATGTATTATTTTCTTTTACATGTATTAAGCATAAAAGTTCTAAATGGTAGAATAATGAAAATGATAGATAAGTGAGTAGATGCCAACCTGGTTGGGATGTATTCATTCTATTGGATGTAGTTCATCTTTTAATCAAAAATAAAATTATTCATTATTTTATTTTTATCCATTTCGACTCTATTTTTTATTAAAATATATAATTTACACAAATATTAAGTTACAAAAATATTCATTATTTTTAAATGAAGTTGTATATAAAAAAGTTCACGAGCAGGCCCGCTTAATAGGCTCGTGGGTTAGGTTACCGGTAGCCTACCCTTACTCGAAGCCCAACCCGGCCCATGGACGCACCTATCTCTCCCCCTCCTCCAACTCTTCCCTTCAACGTAAATTTTGAGCAGCATTTAGGCATAGAGGAGACAACTTCTTCCTTCTTCTCCTCGTCCTTCTCCTCATTTTTTTCCTCCTTCTCCTTCGCATTATCCTCCTTACTCCCCTTCTCCTCCTCTTTCTCCTCTCTCTTTTTTCCTCTTATTTATCCTCCTTCTCTTTCTCCCTCATTCTTTCTCCTTTCTTGTTTCTTCACCCTTCTCCAACTCCATCAATTTTCCTCTTCTTTCCCTGCTCCTACTCCTACTCCTCCTCCTTCTCCTCTCTCCTTTTTCCTTCTCCTCCTCCAGTTTCTTCTCATTTTTGTCGTCGTCGTCCTTCTTATTCTTTCTTCTTCTTATATCACCTTCTCCCCTTTCCTTCTTTTTGCTTTTCCTCCTCCTTGTTTTCCTTCTTCCTTTTGTTTTTCCTCTCTCATCCTCCTCGTCTTCCTCTTCCTCCTCCTCCTCCAACATCGTCTTCTTCCTCCTCCCTTCTTCTACGTAAATTTTCAGTAGCATTTAGACATAGAGGAGACAGTTTCTTCTTCTTCATTCTCCTCCTCCTCCAACTCCTCCCTTCTTTTATGTAAATTTCGAGCAGCATTTAGGCTTAGAGAAGACAACTTCTTCCTTCTCCTCCTCGTCCTTCTTCACCTTCTTTTCCCTTTTTTCCTCCTCATTGTCCTCGTTATTCTTCCTCTTGTTTTTCCTCCCTCCTTCTTCCTCTTGTTTTTCCTCCCTCATTCCTCCCAATTTTCCTCCTATTTCCCCTCTCCCGCACCTTCTTCCTCCAACTCTGTTAATTTCCTCCTTCCTCTCGATTTTCCTCCTTTTTTCCTTCTCCTTCTCCTCCTCCTATTTATTCTTCTCATTTTCGTCCTCCTCTTTCTCCTTCTCCTTCACTTTTTCTCCTTCTTTCTTCCTTTTGCTTTTCCTCCTCCTCCTCCTCCTCGTTTTCCTTCCTCTTTTGCTTGTACTCCCTCCTCCTCCAATGTCATCTTCTTCCTCCTCTCTCCACCTCCAACTCCTCCCTACTTCTACTTAAATTTCGAGCAGCATTTAGGCATAGAGGGGACAACTTTCTCTTCTTCCTCCTCCTCCTCCTTTTTTTCCGCCTCCTTCTCATTGTTCTCCTTATTCTCCTTCACCTCCTCTTTCTCCTCCCTCTTTCTTCCTCTTTTTCCTTCTTCCTCTGCGAACTCTTCCTTCTTCTCCTCCTCTTCCTCCAACTCCTCCCTTTTTCTACGTCAATTTCAAGCAGCATTTAGGTATAGAGGAGACAACATTTGAATGGTGGTAACTGAAAAAGACACAATTTTTTGCTCGAGAGAAATCGCAAGACTTTCTACAAATTCTACTACAATGCCGATATTTGTAGATGTAGACATAACTCCTGTATGACCTCGAGAGCTTTGTCCACAGATGCAACAATAGAAACTAATGGAGCAGAAGTGGACGAAGCAGAGGTCTCTTGTGGTGTATGAACCTAGAATTGTTGCGGGTGAGCTCGTGGATGGTGATGCTTGCCAAGTATGGTAATCAAATAATTACTTACATCTATCTTCAGTCCATATGGTTATTTTGATGAAAATAATAGGTTTAGGTATATAGTTATCTGAAAATATTGAATTTTAAGAATTTAATGAATTTCTTCCAATCTAGGTTGGTAAATTCCTTGTTATTGGAAATTTATCTTCCTGACTTGTATTTGATAAATCATTATCATGCTTCTTAGATGGCTGGTATTAAATAGTGTGTGTACTGTGCACGAGTTGGAATTGGTACATTAAGTAAATTTGCTACTTATTGAGGTATCATTTATGGAGGGACATAAACTTCGGTTAAGGCCTGTAAAGCAACTTCAAGATTTGGAAAGCAAGAATAGCAATTGTAATTCATCAAGCAAATGATGCTTATTGTAGATAGGACTTATTGTGTCATTATAGTTTTGTTTTCCTGTAAAGGATATGCTGATTGTCAGGTGCCTACCTTGAGAGACCTACAGGGACTCTATGATCAGCTGGTTGAGTCAGCTGATGCCTGCCGATTGGATTGGCATGCTACTTCCAAGAAAGCCGAGAGGTAATTCTTTTTCCTGACCACTATTTTCTGTCATCCTTTGATCGCTCTTTAACTCATTTTCAGGAGTAGGTGGTTGAGGTCCCGTTTCATGCTGCAATCTTCATACTCACCCATGTGAAAGGACTTTATCTTTATGGAGGAGGGGGCATAGGAAAAACTATGTTTATGGACTTGTTCTTCGATCAATTGTAGATATTAGAATTAATTAATTCAATGGGTTTGCCCTCCACCTGGTGTGTTTAAGTTGAACACAGATGGGGCTTCAAAGAAGAATCCAGGTATTGCAGGAGGAGGTGTGGTGTTGAGAAATGAATGGGGGAAGGTAGTTTTAGCTGCCTCTTACTTTTATGGTGATTATCCAAATACAGTTGCAGAGTTCAATGCTTTGTTAAATGGGCTGGAATTGGTTAAACAATATGGGCTTTTTGCTTATAAAATTCTGGTGGAATCTGATTCTTTAATGCTGGTTAATGCTGTGAGTGGTAGGCGTGGATGTCCATGGGTGTTGTGTCTGTTTTGAGACAGATTAAGGTGCTTTTGTCTATGGTGGAGAGTATGAATTGAGGCATGCCTACAGAGAAGCTAACATGGAAGCTGATCGATTGGCTAATCAGGCAGTCTGTGCTAGAAGTTCTGTTGACTTTTCTGAGTCCTTGAATTTGCCTTCTGCTGTAAGCATGGCTGTGCTGCAGGATGTTAGGCAGATTCCTATTCTGAGACAGAAGAGGGTTCTGGTTATTGATGACAAAGGGTGATGCTGTTTGTTGCTAAGGGCTAAGGTCGCTGGCTGCTGTGCTGGTTACCAGACTGCTTTTATGAGGGACTTTGCTTTTTTTGCCAAGCCTTTTGGCTTTTCTTTATGTTGAGGTTTTTGTTTTGTTAAAGCAGGGCTTGTCTGCTTTTCCCTCATTGTAAAGCTTGGTCTGTGTGGCTGTTTTGATTAGGCAGGGTCTGTCTGCCTTTTCCTTTTTGAGAAATGGAATAAAATGTTGGTTTGTTTAAAAAAAAAAAAAGAATTAATTAACTCAATATTGGCGCGAATATTGGGAAATCTATCTATGTCAAAATGTGGGAAACTTGCTGATGTATATAAAGCAGTCACCATTCACTATGTATTATCTCTGGTTTTCATTTCCCCAGGTCCTGCAACTGGAGGAAAAAGAGGATCCGTTTTCTTGACTTCATGTTGAATGTTCACATCCGCTCGCAAACAATTACGACCATTTTTTTATTTTTTGTACCTGCATTGCAGTGTAAGTAAGCTTGTGACAAAAATTTTGTGATTGGAAGGGTACTATTTCTGTTATTCGCAGTCCTTGAAAAAATTGCAGTATGTTGAAATCATATAGGCATTTAAGTCTAGTTCCCTTTTGGACCATTATTATGCCGAGTTATGTAGCACTAGGTGATATATGCTAATCCTGAAGTAGAAATTTAACTTAAATTAAAAAACTCTTAAATTAAAATTTAACTTAAATTAAAATTTAACTTAAATTAAAATTTAACTTAAATTAAGTTAGTGTGGTTTTTCATGTCCCAGTGTGGGGTTTTCCATAGGTTGACTGATGTTGAAAACAAATGGACGTCTTCACCACATCCATCACTCCAAATTGTCCCATTGTCACCAAAAACTCTAGAAACTACCAATAACAGTTAGAAACAACATTCATGACGAATTTGAAATATGAAAATATCTCCGACAATGATTTCAAAATTACGGAGAGTGAGTCTCAATTTCACTACTCATATTTTATTGTACATGTCAATGAAATACTCCAATTTCGTTGTCCAACCAAGACTACAAAAATAATTTAATTTAACCTTATACTTTTTATTACCTTTATTTTTTTAGTTTTACGTATTTTTGATGTAAATATTGAAAAGATGAGTTATCTCAACATACAATATTTTTATGTCTAGTGATATTTTTGTAACGTTCCGTCTTCTAGAAAATTTCAAACAACCTTATGATGAGTTTTTTAATTTTAAGATCACTTAAAAAAATATTTTAGAGGGTCCTAAACAGGATTTCTTATTTAAACCTTCTTCGAAAAATATTTTAGAATATACAATGGATATAAAGAAAAGTATAAGAGAGACCTAAAATATTCTTACACATATTAAAAGATTAGATATTTATGCAAAAATTCTAAAGACACCATAAATATATAACATTTGGGAATATTACCTGTTATGACTTTGCTACTTTTGTTTTTGGCTACAAAATGATTCATTGAATTGGATCAATCTGACCCATGCAAATCGATAATTACTCCAAAAACAGACTAAAAGCTCGTATCTCTGTGAACAATTTGCTTTATTATAGTATGACTAAGAAGATACTTCTTTTTGGTTTATTTTATTTAATATACTAATTAAACTATTAAGCAATATTGGTAATTTCAGTTTTTTTTTTTTTTTGACCACATGAAAGCGGTTATTTCAGTAAATGATGCACTATAATATAATAATCGAAATGTTCTTTATAAGCTTGGGCTTGGCACACTAAGTTCATTGGCCTATTTTTCTTTTTTCTTAAGGCCGTGGTTGGTTATGGGCTAGGCTAGGCCATCGAACACTAAATATCAAAATCCTTTAGAATGTTCAACCGCTCATGCAATCAAAATCCTATTGACAAATTAAATATTGAGTTTACCAGTATTTTGGTTATAATTCGATCTCAAGTGCACATTTAAAATAAATTAGATTAAATTAGATATATGACCATTAAACTATGACTCTTGTGTCAATTAAGTCTCTAAATATTTATTTATTTTTTTATCAATTAAACTCTTCTGTCAGTGTCTGTTAGATTTGCTAACGAAAAGTGGCGCAGTGTGTCACTCGTGTGATTGAGCTTTAATTCATTTGTATCACGTGAGCGGCACACTTCAACACTTTCTGTTAGAAAATTTAATACTTAGCATGTACAGTTATGCCAAGATAACACTAAATAAAAAGACCGTAGTACTTAACCCACCCAAAAAAAACAGAAACAGGAAAAAGAAAAAAGAGATATTTAGTAAGATTCTATGGTAATAAAAAGTTGCCACTGGAGTAATGCTACTAATCCTTGTTTCTGCAAATGAAAAATATGAAAAGCAGCCTCTCTAATTTTACAAGAATTGGAGGATCTTCCGACTCTTTTTGAATGGACAAGATTTATACACAAAAATAGATTTAACTGATTCAAAAAAAATTAAATTTCAAAATTTAAAGTCTACTAAATCAATTGGATGGTTAAGATTTGTACTAACCAATTGATTTACAAGAATTGTCTGACCAAAAATAAAATAAAAATTTTACAAGAATTGGAGGATCTTTCGGCTCTCTTTGAATGGTCAAGATTTATACACAAATATCAATTTAGCTTATTCAAATAAAATTTTGAAATTTGAAATTTCAAAATCTACTAACAAATCTTAACAATCCAATTCTGATGAAATGAAATTGGATGGGGGCAAACACCATTGAATTGGAACACTCCAAAAGAGAGAGTTTAACTTCAAACAAAACACCTCTAAACTTTCCCCCATCCTAAACACAAGAGAATGAATAGAACACTCACCATCAAGTTAATGTTAGGCCAATTTAGTTTTCAATTAATTCTATATGTTGGGTTAGTAATCTTTCTTCGACTACTGCTCCATCCTTTTGTAGCTATATCTTGGCCTACAGATGAAATGAAATATTTTGTGCCAATGGTGCTTGTTCAAGCTTTGGCTTTCATTGTTGTTGTGTTGATATTGTTTAGAGGTGGTCACAAGGTTGAAGAACTCATCTCTAAAGCGTGTCTACAATATGGCACCATATCTTTGTTTATTTATGTTTGTAGTCTCGCTTTTGCACACCTGATTGCCAAAGGAAATATATTTGTTATTGTTGCTCTTTCTGCAATGTCTATCATTGTGATATCTGGTTTTAAATTTGCTGCAACTTTCCAAGATTCCGTAGCCATTGCTCGTTGGGTGATGCTTCAATCAATCCTCGCTGAGTTTATTCTCTTCCTCAACGACATGTTTGTGGTGACAATTATAACCATTTTTCCAGTCCTTCCTGCAGTTTTTGCCATGGTGAGTCAGAATTCTCTTTACACACACAGAGTCCTCGTTTTTCATGTTATTTTTAGTGATAACTTGATAGAAGAATATTTGTTTTCTTTTGACGGCTTATTTCATATTAGTTTTGTTATTTGTTTTTTATAACTTATCTCATCTCCTTCTTCTCCGACTTTGTTCTGTTTTGTTTTCTTTCTAAGCGCTTTTCAGTGTTGAAGCCATGCTTCAAATCAAAACATGTTCCAGTTCGTCCTAAGATTGAGTAAGCTCTTCTCCCACTATTTTCGTCTCGACTTTTGCATTAATTTTTTTTTTTTAAAAAAATTTATTGCTTTATGTATCCAGTCTTACTGCTAAGGTCTGTCTTTTTTTTTTTTTTTTCACTTCCTCTGCTACTCTTTCTAATTATTATTATTATTATTTTTTTTTTTGGCATTGCAGGAAAATAGACTAAGCAGCAATATTGGGTGGGCAACTTTTTATAATTCTATTGTGTTATGATCCAACGTTGTAGCAGATTTTTTGTGTTACAACTTTGTAGCGAATTATTCTTCTTCTTCTTGCATTTTTTGTGTTACGACTTTGTTTAACTTATATTGTTTTATCAACTACCAATTTATTTCGAGTCCCAAAAGTTTGTGTGTATATTGGCCATTGATTGTGTTTGTATGGTATTGCAGTGAATATTTTAGCTTTGGGATTAGCAAATCTGATTGGAGGACTTTTTGTCATGGGTCACAATGTGAGTAAATTTTCACTTTAACTCCTTTCGGTAATCAACAAATGTTTTGTACCGCAAAACTGGTGCTGGTTGGCAACAAGTATATTACTCCCAAAAATATCCCTAATTGAAAACCTTTCAAATTTTAGAAATATGTGTATATAAGACTCGTCTTGTTCAGATGATCGTGCTTTATTGGTTGGTACCAATTCATGTGTTGATTAGATGCTGAATCATGTTATTGTGCTTGTAGAACTCACGTAACACAAATTTATTTTATATCATCAACTTGATGTAATTCAGAACTCTGATGAATAAAAAAGAATTCATGGCACTGGAGTCATCACAACCACTGAAATTTTAAGATTTTTGACTTAAGCAAATGAGAGGAGGCCACCAACTTGGATGGTTTAGAACTAACAATACACCCTGTTACAACAGAGACATTATTTGGATCCAAGTATCTGGAGAGCGTGCTGGCATGGTCACCTTGGAATTGTTTCTAGTTTGTTTGTATCATGAACTAGTTAACTGACGCACTTATAACCAAGGTTTCATCCTTATCACTCTTGGTTATAGTATCATTGGACCCATTAAGGGAAAATATAAGTAGTATGAGGAAATGTAATATTTTGAACTCTGTAATGATTTTGTGCTAATAGAGTCTTCCTTCCTTCCTTCCTTCCAACAACGCTATATTCCCCAAAAAAAAGTCACTTGCAGAATGTCTAAAATGACAGAAAAGCAACTAACTAGTGGTGTTTTCTTTCGTTCTTTCTGCCTTTCTTTTGCTCTTGTTCATCCTTGAAAGCTACTATTATGGAATAGAGTTGATTTTGAATGTAGTGTCCGACTAGAATTCTATTCATTGACATACATGAAAAATCAATGCATGAGAACTTTCGAAGGATACTGATATTCAAACTAATCCAACTCGGGACCATAATAGTGATACATATGGGAAGGATGCGGAATATGCATTATAGAACATGTTTCTTTTGCATTTACTCAAAGTTATTTGCATCTTAAACTAACATGTTAGCTTACAGCTTTGGGAACTGAAAAAATATCAATCTGGAGGTGCCTCCAATCGGAGACAGAATTTCTTATTTTATGCAACTGCTGCCATGTTATCGTTCCTCATTGTTGGCCTACTGCCTCCAGTCATCTAATACAACTCCAAAGAGAGTGACATGAGAAATAATTTGTCGTAAAAGATCCTTGACCTTCTGGTTGAGAGAACAGTGGTTGTGATACATATTTTTCATCCGGTATAATCACCAGCGACATCTTCTCTCTTTCTCTTTCTCTTCCTCTCTCTCTCGCGCAAACTCACATTCTCACCCACACACCATCCAAAAATCATGGCATCCACTGTTGGGAAACTCTTGGTATGTATAAATATCATTGTTGGTTGCCATGAGATGAAAGGGGAAGAGAGAGAGAGCAAGAATAATGCCCCATCCAATAAATAAATATAAACTTATATAGTAAGAGGCTCTATTGAAAACAATTAAGTATATAAACGGTGGAATTTTCAAGGGGGTTGATTTTTATTGTAGAGTCATCTAGTACATTATTTGAGGTGTTTCGAAAATAATAAATAAGTATTATAAACAAAAACAATAATAAGAAGATGGACGTAGCAGCCAAATAGAGATACATATGGGCTGTGTGTGGTTATGTGTACACAACTTGTAAGTTGAGTGGTGAGTCATTCTAAAATAGAAGGAATAAAAAGGAGGAGAACACTTTTCAAAAAAAAAAAATAAGAAGAATTGGGCGGAGAGAGTAGAAAAAAATACAAAGAGAAAGGAAAGAAAGAGACGGCATGGGAGTGGATCAAGGGTNATTGGGCGGAGAGAGTAGAAAAAAATACAAAGAGAAAGGAAAGAAAGAGACTTGGGCATGGGAGTGGATCAAGGATTGTGCCAAAAGGAGAAGGGATGGAGAGAAAAAAATACCCAAATGGGAGAGGGAGAAGTAGGTAGATGTTTAGGTTAAGAGATGATATTTATATGAACAATGAATATAATAATAAGAATATTTTGGTATTTTTACAAGTTATGTGACAGACATCCACTTTTGCAATTTGGTCATGAGTTCAAGGAATTTTAGTGCAAAAGTTTAAAGTTAAATGGGTCATTTGCTTCCATCTTTTAAGTACCAGAGTTATTTTGCAACCCTTGATCCACTAAACCTTATGAAAATAGAGATGAAACTTTACCTCCTTTATCACAAGGACCCACAGAGCTTGGAAAAGTGAGTCGATGAGGGAGAGAAGTTAGATGATGCAGTGAAAATGAACACAGGTATCGGAAAGATATTCCATTTATGATTGTAAAGGGCAAACAAAAACCCCTTTCTGAAGTGGAAATATACTTTGTAAGTTTGTAAGATGTACAATATTATAAAGTCTTCTTCACCAAACTAATGTATGCACTTCATCCTGGCACTAAATGCTACTGCATCTAGCTTTGCTTGATTTCTTTGATTGTGCTGTGATATTTCATTTACTAAGCATGCCATATTCACATAGCTGTTTTTCTTGTCCTTTTTTCGTTCTTCTTTTTCCTAACTGAATATCATGAGATCAAATAATTATGACGCTAACATGCTCCTATCTATATGTATGCCGTATGTATATTTGTTATGTTCGGATGTGTCTTCTGACAATTTCACTCTAATTCTGCTTCCCTATATTTTGTTTTAAAAACATGAAGCTCCTCATTCTTGGTTTCTTTTTTTTTTTTTTTTAATAATTTTGGAAGTATGTCAATGTGAAAATATTTACTATATAATGTCAGAAATTGTTATTGTTCCTGACACAACAGTGCCTGTTTTGCTTATCAATTTGGTGCAGGAGGAGCTGTAAATGCTGTTGATAAATTGGACGCATCAAGCATTTCGGATGAAGTGCTACTCAATCATGGAAGTGGTCAACCGTTGACAACGCTTGCTGGTAGAACCCCAGTTAATAATGGAGAATCTACAGAAAATGCTATGTTGATACCTCAACAGGATGGACTAAAGCTACTGATTCCTTCAGTTGTGGATTCTTCAGTTTGTGAGAAATTGCCGATAGAACAAAAAAACGAGGTGTCTACAGAAAAGAAAAGTGCAGGTAGAAGTCTCACTTTCAATGGTGACAATGATATAGGCATTCCAACTTTCCTTCATAGAGGCTACATGTGCAAATAATTTTGGTCATGGTACTTAAAATTCTTGCTAAATCAACATTTTCGTGAAGCAGTAGCTTACCTTTAAAGATTCCATTCATGAATAGTGGAGGTGGTGTTTTGGTTATTTGATGATTGTTCTTTGGTGCCATGCTTATGTAACCAAAATTTACTGTTGAAGATGTTACAGTGTTGTTATGAAATATTCAAGGGTCATGCCTGCGATACGATTTCCAGTTGAGTAGTGACTATATTGAATTTGCTTTGCAGACAAGGAGACTATTTTCGCATTGCAAACACCGGTTGCTGTACTTGAAGGATCAGATATGAATGTGAAAGTGAGCATTTCAGCAGATATTCCACTTAAAAATGATAAAAATGTTGGGGTCACACTTCTTACTGAACCTGCAAAACAAGGTGAAGATGCAAAATTCAAAAGTACTCATAAAGGTATGCAGGTGATAATATATCGTATTGCTTATGCCTTAAAACCACCTCCATCTGCAGTTCTCTAGTCAATTCAATTGGCTTCCACTATTTTGAGTGTGAAACTCCTGATTTCATGTGCCACCTTTGCAAAGGTTTGCACGTTATACCTTATTGCAATCCAGACTTTCATACATCAGATGTTGTAATTTATTGTGAAGGTGGTTTGATTGAGGCTGTTAAGATTAGGATTGATGTAAACTTCTTGAGTGATTTCCTCTTCAGATATGATCTTAGTAATTTGCATTTAGCAGAAACTGTGGTACTTAGGGAACTTTTGTATACAATTGATATGTCAGAGTCGGGTAAGAAAAGATTTAGATTGGCATGGTAAAACTGATATTGCTTGGAACAAGGCTAGAGCTTGAAGGCACTGCTAAGCATGATGGTGTTACATGCTTATTGTGTAGTCTATCGTGGTATGTAAATGAAATTTGAGTTTGTCCTGATTTTTGGCTTTGTTAAAAATGTTAGTGGTTAAAGAACGATGTAAATTCAAATTAGTCATTTAAAAGTATCTAAAGAGACCAACCTAAACCCGGGTGCAGTTTTTTCTTACTTCAGAACTGGAGATCTAGTTTCATTATTTCATCTGAACTTCAAATTCTGTGTTTTTCTTTGTATTCACTCATCATTACTGTGTCACATTCTCTTGCACTTGTGTTTTAAAGTCCCTGCTGTTTGGGAATTTCCTATTTCTGCTGAATTGATTCCAATCTTCTAATAAATTTAACATGGCTTTTCTGTGAGAAGATAAAGTTACGTTTACATTTACAGATGGAGCCTATCACTCCAAAGTTTCTCAGCATGCCATCACTGGAACCAAAGTGGACATCCCTACAGAGGACCACGTGAAAATTGATAGGAATGTTCTGATTTCATTAGGACAGGATGCTTTGTTGATTCAAGACAATCAAGTTAACCATGCTAAAAGGTTGAAGGCTGTACCTGCTAAAAGCAGAACAGTAAGAATTAGGAAGTTTTATAATAATGTTGCTAGGGCGATCCAAAATCTTTTTCTCCAAAAATTAGGAATACAGCTATTTTAACTGAGACTACCAATTTTGTAATCTGAATGGTGAGCAAGAAACCTTTTTTAGTTGATGTTTTTTGGGCAGGAGCCACCTCCAGCCGTAGAAAACATTCATAACTTCTTTTGCCACTCTCTTTTAACTATGCTCATATTAGTTAACAATTGCCTGCCTGGTTGTGTATGAACCAAAAATCTGCTTATCAGAATAACAGGAATCCTGTTGTGGTGAGATTCCTCATGCTCAGCAAGGGGAAGTTTACGTCCTACATGTGTTTTTTATTTATTGCCTGATGTAAATCATGCTGTTTAAAGGAGAGAGAGAAAGACAAAGGGCGGTAGGGAGGGAAGGATGCCCAGGCTTATGTAAAGGGAGGGAGGGCAGGATACCAATGCTTATGTGCAATTCTTCAACAAGCATTGGAATTTTATGGTACCTACTCTCGGATTTCTGGCTGAGCTAGGCTCCTTGAGTGGGGCTTATGCATCTTATGATTTGCACGATCTACATTGATTTGTGGGGCAGATATGCAACTGTAATTTGTATGTTAAAATTTGCTCTAGATATTGAAGTTTATTGACTTGTGTAGTCCTCTATATTCAATGTCAAAACAAATTAAGACTTTTACACACGCGCCTACACACGTGAGCCTCACACACACACAAACAAATACATAATTCTTATTATGCAGAATTGAGCTAGAGAATCAATTGCAAATGCATGAAATGTTAGTAAAAGTTGTTGAAAGGCTTGAGTTTGACGCATATGGTTTGTGCCAATTCATGACTTAAATGGTTTTATGTCCCCAAAATAATATTCCCTTTTTCCATTTTTACATTTTCATGTAATTAATTCTGCTTTCACATTGATAGTTTATTGTAACAATGCATAATTACAGCTCATTTGTATATTTCTTTCCTACTGAAAAATAAATATCAAACGACTGTTCTGTTGTAATCTAATACAGGCAAGGAAACAGTAATAATTGTAGAAGAAGGCCCAATTGAATCAACAGCTACTCAAAGAGCAGAAAATATTGGCAATTCACCAAAAACAGGGCATACACCACATACTACAACTCAACTTCCATGTGGGGAGAGTAAGCTCCACAGCTAGAGAAGTTCGTGGAGTGGAAATAATTAAAAGCATTGTATACGGGGGATTAATCGAATCAATTACAAGCCTTGGAGTCATGTCATCTGCTGCTGCTGGTGATGCGGCCACATGTAAGTGTGTTGTAGGGTATTTTNTGTCAGAGTCGGGTAAGAAAAGATTTAGATTGGCATGGTAAAACTGATATTGCTTAGAACAAGGCTAGAGCTTGAAGGCACTGCTAAGAATGATGGTGTTACATGCTTATTGTGTAGTCTATCGTGGTATGTAAATGAAATTTGAGTTTGTCCTGATTTTTGGCTTTGTTAAAAATGTTAGTGGTTAAAGAACGATGTAAATTCAAATTAGTCATTTAAAAGTATCTAAAGAGACCAACCTAAACCCGGGTGCAGTTTTTTCTTACTTCAGAACTGGAGATCTAGTTTCATTATTTCATCTGAACTTCAAATTCTGTGTTTTTCTTTGTATTCACTCATCATTACTGTGTCACATTCTCTTGCACTTGTGTTTTAAAGTCCCTGCTGTTTGGGAATTTCCTATTTCTGCTGAATTGATTCCAATCTTCTAATAAATTTAACATGGCTTTTCTGTGAGAAGATAAAGTTACGTTTACATTTACAGATGGAGCCTATCACTCCAAAGTTTCTCAGCATGCCATCACTGGAACCAAAGTGGACATCCCTACAGAGGACCACTTTAAAATTGATAGGAATGTTCTGATTTCATTAGGACAGGATGCTTTGTTGATTCAAGACAATCAAGTTAACCATGCTAAAAGGTTGAAGGCTGTACCTGCTAAAAGCAGAACAGTAAGAATTAGGAAGTTTTATAATAATGTTGCTAGGGCGATCCAAAATCTTTTTCTCCAAAAATTAGGAATACAGCTATTTTAACTGAGACTACCAATTTTGTAATCTGAATGGTGAGCAAGAAACCTTTTTTAGTTGATGTTTTTTGGGCAGGAGCCACCTCCAGCCGTAGAAAACATTCATAACTTCTTTTGCCACTCTCTTTTAACTATGCTCATATTAGTTAACAATTGCCTGCCTGGTTGTGTATGAACCAAAAATCTGCTTATCAGAATAACAGGAATCCTGTTGTGGTGAGATTCCTCATGCTCAGCAAGGGGAAGTTTACGTCCTACATGTGTTTTTTATTTATTGCCTGATGTAAATCATGCTGTTTAAAGGAGAGAGAGAAAGACAAAGGGCGGTAGGGAGGGAAGGATGCCCAGGCTTATGTAAAGGGAGGGAGGGCAGGATACCAATGCTTATGTGCAATTCTTCAACAAGCATTGGAATTTTATGGTACCTACTCTCGGATTTCTGGCTGAGCTAGGCTCCTTGAGTGGGGCTTATGCATCTTATGATTTGCACGATCTACATTGATTTGTGGGGCAGATATGCAACTGTAATTTGTATGTTAAAATTTGCTCTAGATATTGAAGTTTATTGACTTGTGTAGTCCTCTATATTCAATGTCAAAACAAATTAAGACTTTTACACACGCGCCTACACACGTGAGCCTCACACACACACAAGCAAATACATAATTCTTATTATGCAGAATTGAGCTAGAGAATCAATTGCAAATGCATGAAATGTTAGTAAAAGTTGTTGAAAGGCTTGAGTTTGACGCATATGGTTTGTGCCAATTCATGACTTAAATGGTTTTATGTACCCAAAATAATATTCCCTTTTTCCATTTTTACATTTTCATGTAATTAATTCTGCTTTCACATTGATAGTTTATTGTAACAATGCATAATTACAGCTCATTTGTATATTTCTTTCCTACTGAAAAATAAATATTAAACGACTGTTCTGTTGTAATCTAATACAGGCAAGGAAACAGTAATAATTGTAGAAGAAGGCCCAATTGAATCAACAGCTACTCAAAGAGCAGAAAATATTGGCAATTCACCAAAAACAGGGCATACACCACATACTACAACTCAACTTCATGTGGGGAGAGTAAGCTCCACAGCTAGAGAAGTTCATGGAGTGGAAATAATTAAAAGCATTGTATACGGGGGATTAATCGAATCAATTACAAGCCTTGGAGTCGTGTCATCTGCTGCTGCTGGTGATGCGGCCACATGTAAGTGTGTTGTAGGGTATTTTTTCTTGTTGTAAGTGCTTACTCTAACACTACTTGTCAAAGATTTGTGTGAATAAGTACTACTAATTTTCTTGGCTTTGCGTCATTTGGTAGGTAGTTGTAAATGATTAATGTTGTGCTTTGTATAAAAGGTGACTATCGGCTTCTTTCTATGTTGCTTTATGTAGGCCTCTTTTTCAGCTAAGAAAACAAATCCTAATTTTTACACTAGTTGAATTGAAGCAATAATTGGTAAATGTGTGTGAATCACTGAAGGCTCCATGTTAGATTATCTTGCGTGAGTTTCTACAGCAAGGATTTAATTTTGTAATAAGAGGGATGTTATGTTGGCCCTTTGTTTTTAAATTATGGATTTTAACTTAAAACAGCATAATGCTTGCAGGCCAACATTAGCTGACATTTATAATACATGGTATAAATGACAATAATGATGATATATTGCCCAGTGAAAAAGTAATCTTACCCACTTATTTCGGTATGTTTAGTATAACTTTCATCTTGGTCCAAAATCATGTGTTGTTTCCTTGTTCCTGATGAGTATGATGAGAATAAGGAAACTTCTGCCTAACCTCCTCTACTCTAAATGGTATGGTACCTATTTTCTAATGTAGGCGCTTCAGTAAAATCTAAATCACTTCTGGGATTTTTGTATAATTTATTCCTGCATTTTTTGTGTTACAACTTTGTTTAACTTATACTGTTTTATCAACTACCAATTTATTTTGAGTCCCAAAAGTTTGTGCGTATATTGTTCATTGATTATGTTTGTATGGTATTGCAGTGAATATTTTAGCTTTAGGATTAGCAAATCTGATTGGATGACTTTTTGTCATGGGTCACAATGTGAGTAAATTTCTACTTCAACTCCTTTCGGTAATCAGCATATGTTCTATCCCGCAAAACTGGTGCTTGTTGGCAACAAGTATATGACTCCCAAAAATAACCCTATCTGAAAACCTTTCAAACTGTAGAAATATGTGTGTATAAGACTCGTCTTGTTCAGATGATCATGCTTTGTTGGTTGGTACCATTTCATGTGTTGATTAGATGCTGAATCATGTTATTGTGCTTGTAGAACTCACGTAACACAAATTTATTTTGTATCATCAACTTGATGTAATTCAGAACTCTGATGAATAAAAAAAGAATTCATGGCAAAGGAGTCGTCACAACCACTGAAATTTTAAGATTTTTGGCTTAAGCAAATGAGAGCAGGCCACCAACTTGGATGGTTTAGAACTAACAATACACCCTGTTACAACAGGGACATTATTTGGATCCAAGTATCTGGAGAGTGTGTTGGCATGGTCACCTCCAATTGGAATTGTTTCTAGTTTGTTTGTATCATGAACTAGTTAACTAACACACTTATAACCAAGGTGTCATCCTCATCACTCTTGGTTATAGTGCTAAGGGAAAATATAAATAGTCTGTGAAAATGTAATATTTTGAACTCTGTAATTATTTTGTGCTAATACAGTCTTCCGCCCTTCCTTCCTTCCAACAACGCTATATTCCCCTAAAAAAAAGCCACTTGCAGAGTNCTAAGGGAACATATAAATAGTCTGTGAAAATGTAATATTTTAAACTCTGTAATTATTTTGTGCTAATACAGTTTTCCGCCCTTCCTTCCTTCCAACAACGCTATATTCCCCTAAAAAAAAGCCACTTGCAGAGTGTCTAAAATGACAGAAAACCAACTAACTAGCGGTGTTTTCTTTCGTTCTTTCTGGCCTTCTTTTGCTCTTGTTTCTCCTTGAAAGCTACTATTATTGAATAGAGTTGATTTTGAATGTTGTGTCTGTCGNGCCACTTGCAGAGTGTCTAAAATGACAGAAAAGCAACTAACGAGCGGTGTTTTCTTTCGTTCTTTCTGGCCTTCTTTTGCTCTTGTTTCTCCTTGAAAGCTACTATTATTGAATAGAGTTGATTTTGAATGTAGTGTCCGGCTAGAATTGTATTCATTGACATACATGAAAAATCAATGCATGAGAACTTTCGAAGGACACTGATATTCAAAGTAATCCAACTCAGGACCATAACAGTGATACATATGGGAAGGATGTGGAATATGCATTATAGAACATGTTTCTTTTGCATTTACTCAAAGTTATTTGCATCTTAAACTAACATGTTAGCTTACAGCTTTGGGAACTGAAAAAATATCAATCTGGAGGGGCCTCCAATCAAGAAACAGAGCGAGTTGATTGGTACCAGGAACTACTGGGACGAAGACAAAATTTCTTATTTTATGCAGCTGCTGCCGTGTTATCATTCCTCGTTGTTGGCCTACTGCCTCCAGTCATCTATGGCTTCTCATTTCAGAGGAGTGATGATAGAGATCTCAAGCTCGTGGCAGTAGCAGCGACTTCACTTCTATGCATCATCCTACTTAGCATTGGAAAGGCTTATGTTCAGAGGCCTCCCAAGTCTTATATAACAACAGCAGTATACTATGTTATGATAGAGTTCGGAGTCTCGGCTGTTTCCTTTGCAGTAGGCAACCTAATCATGAAACTCCTGGAGAAGCTTCGTTTATGTCAGTCCAATTCCCTTGTAACCCTGCCACTTCTCAAGACAGAACCAGTGAAACCAGTATGGGCATCCTATTAGTGTCACCAGTGTTGAATGCCGATTTTTTGACACACAGTCATTCGAAACAATGCTGCAGAGTGGGTGAGTGATGTTCCCTTATACAGGGCCCAAACATCAATTGCTATTGACGGCTCAGTTAAACTTATGCCTGATGTCTTGTACACTTTTCTTTTTCACCTTGCTTTGGGCTAAAACTACTCTTTTTCACCTAGCTTCGGGCTAAAACTACCATCTAGAGAATATTTCTCAAGGTGAATAATTAGCGAGTATGCGACATTTTTGCACCCAGAGTAAATTGGAACAGTTTTTTATGTTGTATGCTTATACGGAATAAATTGAGTAAGACCAACATCTACAATTTGTCCACTAGGAAGTTATTTTTGCAAGGCCCATGGAGGTAGTCTTTTGCAAAAATAACTTGTAAGTATTATAATAAATAAGTGTTATAAACAAAAAACAATAATAAGAAGATGGAGGTAGCAGCCAAATAGAGATACATATGGGCTATGTGTGATTTTGTGTACACAACCTGTAAGTTGAGTGGTGAGTCATGCTAAAATAGAAGGAATAAAAAGGAGGAGAACACTTTTCAAAAAAAAAAAAATAATAATAATAAGAATTGGGCGGAGAGAGTANAGGAATAAAAGGGAGGAGAACACTTTTCAAAAAAATAATAATAATAATAAGAATTGGGTGGAGAGAGTAGAAAAAAATACAAAGAGAAAGGAAAGAAAGAGACTTGGACATGGGAGGTGGATCAAGGGTTGTGGCAAAAGGAGAAAGGATGGAGAGAAAAAAATACCCAAATGAGAGAGGGAGAAGTAGGTAGATGTTTAAGTTAAGAGATGATATTTATATGAACAATGAATATAATAATAAGAATATTTTGATATTTTTACAAGTTATGCGACAGACATCCACTTTTACAATTTGGTCACGAGTTCAAGGAATTTTAGTTCAAGAGTTTAAAGTTAAGTGGGTCATTTGCTTCTATCTTTTAAGTATAAAAAGTTATTTTGTAATTTATTCTATAAATTATAATTGTCATTTTGGCACTAAACATAGTTCAAATTATAATAATTTTTTACATATTTGTGCAAAAAAAATTATTTTTTATTTAAATTTTTTATTAAATTATGATATTCTCGTTCTATAATTTTTTAAAAGTAGAGGGATACTTCACTGTAGCCTCTAAGGGCTAATTTGTATTTAATCCTTTATTATAAATGGAGAATTATACTCAGACCCCTTAAGTTTATTACTTAATCACTTAAACCCTTAATATTTAAAATATTACATATAAAACTCTTAAAATTTGTACATGCATAACACTTAGACATTTGTAATCAAATATCAAATTATACTCAAACCCCCTAAAATTTTTAGGTACATAATATTTAGATCTCTAGAGTTTAAAATATTATATTTAGACAAAAAAATACTTAAATTAAAGATAAAATATCAAATATTTTAAGTTTTATAACCAAAATTAATATTTTATTTTATCATTTATTGAAATAAGAATAAAAATCTAATTTTTTTCTTACAAAAATCATAATTAGTATATAATTATATTATTTATTAGAATAAAACAAAAAAAATCAAATAAGGGTCAAACCGTAATGGGTATAATGTCTTCCATCTTTAATTGGAATAATATGGTTATTTAATAGATTTCGTTAATCCTGTAACTAATAAGTGGTCTAAATATAATATTTTAATTTTGAGGGTTTAAGTGTTAGACATCAATAAAATTAAAGATGTTTAAGTATAATTTATTAACAAATATTCAACCCATATTGACAGGAGAGTTACGCGCATAAAATTTTAGAAAGACCTAAATTATTAAGTGACGAGTTTAATTCTCCCTATTATACATGTTAATTGAAAAAAAAAATCACAACGCATAGAACGCCTTCAATTTTTTTTTATTTTAAGTTGGGAAAATTCGGTAGCCTCAGTCAAAAACCCAACGGCTCCATTCCCACTCAAATCTCAACCCTCTCTTCCCGCCAATCTCCCAAATTCCCAATCTTACGCTTCTCTCTGTTTCCAAATTCGCATCCCATATATTCCCCAAATCTCCTTAATTTGCTTCCCTCCCCATTCGTCTCTCTCTCCCTCCTATGTTTCCTCCCTCTCTTTCCCGGCGAAAGCCAGCCACTTCGCGAAATCCACTACAAACACTGATCGGCGTACGACCCATACACACAGAGTCGCTCACCCACCACCTACAAAACTATGCTTTCAACACACACCCCCACACCGAAGTGGGTCTCCATTAGCCATTAGTTTTGGTTTGATGTGAATTCGGTTTGACACAGTGTCTTAGGGTTCAATGAACCACAACTACTATATCATATCTCACATGTTCCAGAAAAATTTCCCAGAGCTACAAACATCATGGGTTCCAATGATGGGTTTGATAAGATTTTTTTGGATGAATACAGTTCGTGTGTCCTTTGAAGCCTCAGGTGATACAGCTGTAACTGGAAGGTAATTGGTTTGGACCAACACATTTTTTCCAATTTCATCTATTGGTCTCTATTCAACGCCCTAAATATTTGTTCTTTTTTGTGAGTTTCTTTCCTTTTAATGTTTATGGGGTTCATGCTGCTGTTGATTTTTATTCGTTCTTTGTTTTCTTAGTCTGCTAGAACATTTATCTCACTATATCATTCCAATTCGTATTCTCACTGTGGTTATAATTGCCAGCGGGTATGAATTTGTTTTTATTGCAAAATATTGATAGATTTCAGTGGGGTGCCCATTCTTAACAACCATTACATGGTATGTATAAAAAAGATTTACTTTTTGTTATTGTTTATAGGGTATGGTTAGGTCTGTTTATAGATGTAATTGTGTGAATATTCATTATTTTAGTTAGATTATAATAATGAAACAAAATGATTTATTTTTTATCATGAATTTTATTTTTATTGAAATTTGTTGTCTTGCACTGTAAATTGTGATGATAATTTGAATTTTGTTACTTGATAATTCAAAATCTTAGTTTGAATATTTGTTACTAGGCACCACGTGAATCTATTTGATACTTCAAGAATTTGAGCTATTGTTCTCGCTACGTGGTTCGACATGTAAGATTTCTTTTATGAGGGACTCTCAGTGTTGGGCATGTATGCAAAATATTTGTTGTTTTGCTTCAATGAAAATAACTCAAACCTTGAAAAAACTAACAATGAATTGTTGTTTGATTTGTGTGTAAAAATGTTTGATGTTAAAAGAACATTGTGTTGTTCCTTTGGGAGGAATCATTTGTCAGCTTTGTATCATGGTTCAAGGTCGCGATATCAACCCTTGACTTCGAGGCTTCTAAGACAAATCAGTCACGACGTTGCATCGCGGTATCAGCCGATACACTACATAGAAGGTTCAAAATTTTTTAAAAAAAATTAGAAAAAATTGTAATACATGTAAACATTATCATCCATGCATCATATCCTCAAAATGAATTATTTAACATAGTAGCCCTCGTAAAAAATAATAATAAGAGCGCTACCAGAAAATATTTGTTATCGTCTATGTTCAATGTAAGCATTTAAGACCGTACTAAAATGTATATTAAAAAGAATTATTTAAAAATGTATATGTTATTATAATTTTTTTTTTCCATTTAATCATTTAATGTATATCTAACTACAACTTGTATGCATTTTCTCCATTATGTACATGTAATTATTAAATATTCTATTACACATAAAAAGGAAAAAACTTAATAAATTAAGTTATAATTATATTATGTGATGAATAATAAAAATTATATAATTAAAATTTGATCAAAAACCCACAATGGATCTCAGTTTGAATTGGAACAATTGGGAATCAAAAACAAAAAAAACTTGAAATCGACATATTGGTTCAATCGGTTTGATTGGTTAACTGTTTGAGAGAGAGTGGGATTGAACGAAAAAAAGGGGCAAAACCAAAAGAAAAAGGGGGGGGGGCTTATTTACGTCTACTCACACGATTGACACTCTAAATATCTGACTCAGAGAAAGACTGGGGTCTAGATCTGGAACGATGGTTGTGCACAGGAAGAGATAGAGTGTTGCTACCTACTACTTTTAGGGCTTTGGTCTAGATCTGGAACGCAGCTATTGTTAGTTTGGTTGGGTTTCTGCTTTTACGACGCTTTTTATGTATGTGTTATTTGCTAGTTCTTCATCTGTTTATGTAAAAAGAAAAAGCAAAAAATGGGGTTTTGATTTAGGGTTCACTCTCTACCTACACAAAGTCACAAAATGGGTGTTTGTAGAATATGGGTCAATTTTCTTTGACATCTCCTTTGCCTTTTTCTTGGTATGTTTTTGCTATTGTTGGGTTCTTTAACTTTTGTGGGACGATTGTGGGTTGAATCGACTCAAATCGGTTTGATTCAGTGATTATTTTCTCTTTCTTATATTTTCCTTACATTGTTTTCTCTCTCATTTTCTTCCTTCTATTCTTTCTCTCTCCTTTCTGTTCTTTCAATTTCTCTATCATCTCTCTCCTATCTCTAATTTAAATTTCTCTATTTATCTCATCTCCCTTCTATCTCACACTTTCTCTCTTGTCTCTCTTCCCTTCTTCTCTCTTTTATATCCCTTATTTAAATTCTTCTCTATCCTCTCTCTTCCATTCCACTCATTCTCTCTCTTCTCTTTTCCTTTAATTATTTTTTCTCACCACTCTCCTTTCAATTCACCATCATGGAATGGGTTCATCACTAGTGAAGCCAACAAACGTTGCTAACATGCCTTCATTAACATGTGCCGCACAAGATCATCACTAGCATGTGCTCTTCGGATCCATGATGGGTTGTTTCTTCAAGGTATAGAAATTGATGTTTGTCATTGTCTTAGGACAGTGACATTGGGTTTTGTTCAAGTGATATATCTATACTACTATAAAATATCAGCATAACTGAAAACTTTTTTTTTTCACTTGAACCCTCCAAAACCATAACTATGCTATTCTTATCCCTTAACATTAGAGATGAACTAAGGCCTATTTTGAAC